TCGGGGCGTTCTGTGATACGTCGTCCAACAGGGCACATCGTCCTCGGCGCTCGTTCCTTGAAAACGGCCGCCGGAGATTCGCGCGGGTTCGAGTCCCGGTAGTACCGGTACCGTTGTATGAGATATACCCATATACATTGGTGCTGATCCCGCGCCAAAGTCGGATACGTGGCAGTCTCTCGTGTCGGCCCGGTACACACTGAGCGCCGCTGGACATGCATATTGGTCTAGCTCTCGCAACTAATGCGCCTGCGACGCGAGCTCGTACTGTAGCGTCGTATTTGATCTGCACACGTGTGCGAGTGCGAGTACGGCGGCGTGAGCCTTTAGCCAAGCGCTGCCAACGATCCTCAACGGCCAGCGCGGAGGCGTCCTCGGTCATTTTCCGGTTCCTAGAAAGGGCGTGGCCTTGAACTCGGTGTAGCCCACCAGTTAGAGCTACTACATACCAGTCGGCAGTCGGAAGTGGACCTGCGGACTGTACTATCAACAAGGGTGCGTGCAACGCCTTGGCCGAGTTGATCGGTCCGCTGTCGCAATTTGCGGCCCTAGCTCGTGCATATCCTAAAAATGGTCAAAACCATAGGAAAGCTCGACGGCGCAAGCGATGACAATATGTACATTTTAAAAGAGCGGCGACAGAGGCATCCGTCCACAATGCTTTCCTATAACGTTAATACGGTAGCAGAGTTGTACGTCTCATTCGAGCACATGCGGCGTCTGCTGCCATCCATCGCGTGTGCTGTCGCGCGTTCGTGCCCCTGGCTTGATTCGATCGAACGTGGCAAGTGAGGCGAGATTGCATGGTTTTCTTTTAAATATATGGCCAACTGTATACCCGCGCGTCGTTTTTAATGATGCGAGACCACCGCGTCAACAATTCAGCCAGCGCCCACCTTGCCCGCGCCGTGTTTAAAACATTAAAAAACACAAAAAGCGGTTGCCAACACCAAGAGCCTGCATGACAAATGGCCTAGCTTCAAGAACTTGAAAACAATGCCGTTATCACTACCGTGGCGCAGGTTAGAAGTGGACGTCGCCAGAGCAGAAGCTTGACGCTGGCACAGTGCATGCCTGCTTGGTGACCTTGGTGGCGGATGGGCCAACGCAACGGCGGTGGCACCGAACGATTGCACTATCGACATCGTTGGCGTCATCGGCACCTCGGGATCTGTACATCAAGCGGGTGTTGGTTGACTTAGAGACGTAGAGGACGTGTACAATACAGTTGATGGCTCCTGCACGCTACTACCTACAGTGACTAATACCACGACCTGCAACCACCGTCCGACGTCGCTGGCCTCGTGGCCGCCAAGTTCTATTAGACAGCTGCCGTCTATTGTCACTTGCTGGGCAATGCCACTCGAGAGTCCTTCCTTCGCGTGCATGGAAATGGTATGGGCAGCGGCTTGAGTTGGCTTGTCGCCAGCGTCGTGTTTTAAACACATAACCCACCACGTGGTTGTTACGAATATATGTATAATACATGCCCAATAAGAAACGGAGCTTCGTGACAAACCATATTGGGACTTGCGCCACGACCGCCGAAGCCGCATGCGTCCGGGCTCGCTCAAGAACACCGTGCTGAGTACGACGCCCTTCGTCTTGTGTCTCGGAGGCTCATGCATCCTCGTGTAGCGGTCTTCTTCTCGCTTATGTCGATGGGCTGCTGTACCTTCTCGATGATCTACCCCGCGTGGTTCATGCAAAAGTACAAGGAGACGACGCCGGACGTCTTCCAGGGCTTTGGCATTTTCGCCTTTCACTCGACGGGGGTGCTACAGACGCCCTTCTTTGCGTCCACGACAACGCTCGAGTACTCGGACTTTTGCGCCAACCAAAAGGCTGGCGTGCAGGCCCCGAATTGGATGCTCGGCGGCGCGCCGCAGCTTCAAGTCATTCTCTGTGGCATGCCAATCAAGGGCATCCAGTACGTCATCATGTTCGCCGTCGTCTTTGCGACCATCTCGCTCCTCGCGTCAATTGCGGCCACGTTCCAGCCGCAAGCCGGCTGGGCCGAGCGCATCGTATCGTCGGCGACGCTCGCGGCCTGTACGACTTTGCCGTTCGAGATTGCACTTGCTGATATCTTTTTTAATGTTGTAGCATGCCTCTTGCTCGCAGCTCTGATTTGCTGGGCGCTCCAGATCCAGCAAAAGATGCTGCAGATCGACGTGCTCTCGTCCGGGTACCAGGCGTGCAAGAGCGTCAAGGGCGACGGCTCCAAGTGGAGCTGCTGGTTCTACGGCTACAGTTTTTGGGCCGCGATCGGCGGCGTCTGCGGCATGCTCTGCACCATGTATGCGAGCTCGGCCGGCCGCGCGGAGAAGATTCGCCACTTCCGCAACCTGTACGAGCAAGACCTCGCCATCGCCATGCAGGCGTCGGCGGGCCAAACGCCGGGCACGACCACGAGCGCCTACACGGCGCCGCAGTCGGAGAAGCCTATCGTCCAGCCGTCGGTGCAAAACCACCCGGGCTTTGCGCCGTCCGAGCCCCACGCCAACTCGATCTCGTCCTACGAGCCTGGGTTCCAGCCGTACGGCCAACCACCGCCGCCAAACAACACGGGCCCCTACACCTCTGGCTACGGCGCTCAACCAGCGTACGGGTACAACACAAATGCATATGGCCAGCCCCACACCAATGGTGCATACCAACAGCCCGTCCAACCCGTTGTTGGAGGCAGTGGTTATGTCCGAGGTGGCATTGTCTAGATCGACGAAATATGACGAGTAGATATATTATTATCTTATAAACATGAAACATTGTGTACACAAGTTGGTAGGAGATGCAACAGACAAGTCGTGCACGCCACCAAGTCCTATATTACGCCGACGCGCCCATTATTGGTCTTTTCACAGAGACTCGATCACAATTTTATGTGTCATGATGGCCTCTTCCTGGATGTCCATGGCTCTGAATGGGTCAGATGCGATGGATTTGGAGCCGCCCATGCATTCTACCAGAGATCGCATCGCAGCAGTGAGCGGAACACGGACAACATACAACGCTCCATCGTACCAACCACAAAATATCAGCCGGCTCACTGCCCGTCTACACCGTGGACGACGCGCTTGTTCTGCGAGATCGAGCTTATCGTCGACGCCAGGGACGAGTGCGCGCGAGTCCCATGCATTCGGCATCGTATTGGCTTGCTTGTTCGTGCTCTTGTGCCCGGTTGATGTCGTCGACTCGTCATGGCTGCCCGTGCGAGGTCCACATATACATAAGAGAGGCGGAAGTGCCCGATATCGTTGTGTGCGTTCTGTTGTTGTTGAACCGAGTTATATTCCATGCAATTAAAAGTTATGGTAGACTTTCTAATGCGCTCGTGAGGCGTGGCCGGTGCGTCAGCGAGGAGTCGTGATTCGAGATCGTGCGAGGGACCACGTAGCGTGCACACCAAGGGTCATCGCGGAGAGCGGGCAGCGATGCGTCAAGCGATGGCACCACAGCGCGACGAGCCAAGTGCCGGACATGCAGTCTTGCGATAGCATGTAGCTGCCTTATGTGGAAGATCTGGATGCGTCGAGGCCTCATCTCGGAAGGCAACCGTGTGCGGCTGTACAAGTGCTACGTGCTCCCGGTCCTTTTGTACAACTGTGGCACCTGGGCCCTGACGCCAACGAGTCTGGCGGGCCTTGACAG